GATGGGAGGAATATTTGTGCTGACAAAGTTAACAGCAGCTGTTCACGGTGACCTGTGGTTGCTGAGTTTTGTTGGGGTTTGGCCTGGGTTCTCACTGTGGGTGAACTTAGGGTGTCCTCTTAGGTGGCGCAGCCACTGTGAGAGCGTCTGTCTACAGCTGCTGAGTGGGGAAGGGTGAGGCTTGCGGGGGACATATGTACCTCATCCCCTCCCAAGCCCACCTGCTGAGTGGTTATTTAAAACAAGATAGTGCAGAAAGCCACTCTAAAATTTCACCATGTGGAATCCTCTCCCCCTATTGTGGAAACATTTCATCAGACCTGGCATGTCTGAGATACCCAGGGTGATTAGGGGTTTGACCCAAAGAAGTCTAGTGAGAATAAATTACACCAGAGGCCTGCTTTCATTATTATGGACCAAGCAAAGGTCACGGATAACCCAGCCAGACTTATGCTATTGCCCAGCCATTGTGTAGTGGGAAACATAATGGCCACTTCTGTTAGGGACATTGACCTTATTCCAGCAACCCAAAGAAGGGCCAACTCTGAGAGATGTCTTGGCTGACGCTATACATCAAAATTGTGATGCCACTGTCTTACCACTAGAGGGTGTGGCAGTCCTTTCGTGGCAGAAGTTAAAAGGGGCTGGGATGCTTCCATCAGGCTGTACAGAGATGTTCTATGTACAGTTAAAACCTGAGTAATAGCGGTGGACAGATTCTTTGTGCATTGGGATGCGAGGGGAAAGACAGGAAGAGAGCAAAGAGCCTGCTGATGTGGCTATACTCACTTCTAGTGACATATTAACAGCATGAAACATGTAGTTGGATTTTGAGTACGCCATTGCTGGGGGGATGTCTGTTTTTAAATGCTCCTAACAGACTCTGCTTTTGAAAAGTGCTTATCATTACATGGACAGTTTCTTGACCAGGGATTGCTTTTCTAAAGGCAGTATGGGGAAAGTGAATATTCAAGATGAACTATGAAAATAATGTTTAAAGGTTGGCGTGTAAATAGCTTCCTAAAATACCATTTGTGTATCCATTAAGACCTGGGGGAGGGGGAGGGGGCTGTGTATGCCTCGTGCAGAAAGAAGACGTGGCCGTGAAGGACAGAATCTCTCCCCTATCCCCGCGCCCCATAATCAAACATAAGCTAGTTAGTCTTGGCTAGTAGCTGGGATTTACCACTCATACTCTGAGGAGGGGCAGAAGCTCCACTAAAAGTAAATTAGCAAAGCAGGAGTAGTACTCTTTCATCCTTGGAGGTGGTTTGGAATTTTAGGTAGAATAAGGATATACTTGAAATTATGGTAATTCTTTAGTGCCCAATAACATAAGACAGTGTTATTGTTAGAAAGAGTCTTTCTCATAAGCTGTCTAATAGAGAAGGTGTATGCCTATTAGATATTAGCAGTGAAGTTCCTTCACTATCGGGTGGATTATTAGGTATAAAAAATAATTATCAACCAGGCAAAGTACTTTGCTTCCTGATGTCATCCCACGTGGGTCCAGGTGTTGCACAGCTCTGCACAGCCCAGCAGGAAAGCCAGGTGGGACCAGTGTGTCTGTTATGAATGCACTAACTGCATTCTTGACTGACAGTCAAGTCATTTCTGGGGAAGGTCTTCAGCTGAGCTCTCAGCTTTTGGGAGGAAGGAGGGAGGGGAACCCACTGAGCTGGCCTTTCTCGTGTGGAGGGGGAGGGGCGGCAGGTCACGTGCACCAGCTGACCCAGCAGTGCCTGTGCTTCCCTGTAGCCCTGGCATTTCATTCCATAGGGTCCTAGGTCCCAACTTCCCCTCCTATGGTTTGTGTCAAATGTGCTTTACCTGATTGAATCCAAACATCCCGAGATGTCACACGCCGGTTTCTCGTGGGGATGAATACGTACATGTTTGCAGTCATGTTGTGAGAAGTCAGATGTGTGAGCTGGAAAATGCTAGGGGCAGGGAATAATAAAAAGGAAAACCTTTCTGCTTCCTGCAGTGGGAACTGACCGTGTAGTCTTAATAGCCTTTTGTACACATATCTACAAACCAGATAACTTCCCCAACCAGTGCTTGCCCTTGGAATTGTCTCTAAATACATCAAGCATACAATAAAAAAAATACTGAAATTAATGTCTCTTGGCCTCTTCTATCTTGTGTTTCATTAATAGATGTGGGCATTGGCCACAACATAGAAAATGTATGAAGGGGGATATATTTTATGACTGGAATCTTCGGAAGACCAAACCGTTCAGCGTTTTCTCCATTTATCCATTCTGTGGATAAATTCACTCTTTAAAAATAAACACAAAACCATGATATACCACCTCACACCCATCCGGATGGTTACTATAAAAAAAAACAAACAGCAAATAAATAAATGTTGGTGAGGATATGGAGAATTTGTAACCCTTGTGCACTGTTGATGGGCATATAAAATGGTGCAGCTGATATGGAAAACAGTATGGAGGTTCCTCAAAGAATTAAAAATAGAAATTAGCATATAAGCCAGCAATTTTACTTTTGAGTATATACCCAGAAGAACTGAAGGCAGAGTCTCAGGTATTTTTACACCCGTGTTCATACCAGCGTTATTTACAATAAGCAAAAGGTGGGAGCAAGCCAAGTCTCCGTCAATGAATGAATGGACAAACAAAATGGAGTATATCCAGGCAACGGAATATACAGCCTTAAAAAGGAAGGAAGTTCTGACACATGCTACAGCATAAGTGAACCTTGAGGACATTATGCTAAGTGAAATAAGCCACTCTCAAAAAGTCAAATATTATTTGATTCCACTTTTATGGGGTACCCAGAGTAGTCAGTCTCATAGAGGCAGAAAGTAGAATGGTGGTTGCCAGGGGCTAGGGGGGAAGGGGAATGGGGAGTTACTGTTTAAGGGGCACAGAGTTTAAGTTTTGCAAGATGATAAAAGAGTTCTGGAGACTGGTCACACAACACCGTGAACGTACTTAACACGACTGATCTGTACCCTTAAAAATGGTAAATTTTATGTTTATTTTACCAAATTTTAAAAAATCATCAGAATGGCTGGTGCCACCTATGCCGAGCATCTTTACTTTAAAGCCATAGAAACTCCACTAGAGGAGAGGGTGCCACTTAAGAAAAAAGCCAGCTCTTCCCACTCTGGTGACCTAGAAATGCCAGATTGCTTCCATGGTTTTGTCTCCACGTGACAGGCAAAATGCAACTGAATGTCTCGTTCATGAAAATAGGACTTAGTTACCAGCGAGACGTGACCTGTGTCAAGGTCAGAGTAGATGATGGCCCCATTTACATGACAAGGAACTGCTGACTCTTTAAACTTTTTTCTCAGCTCTTTTTTTCACAAACTGTAAACTCCTGCAAAGCTCCAAGGTAACACAGCATGTATCTGTTTGCTAGGGCTGCCATAACAAAGGACCACAAACTGGGTTGCTTAAACGACAGGGATTTATCATCTCACAGTTCTGGAGGCTAGAAGTCCAAGATCAAGGTGTTGGCAGGGTTGGTTCCTCCTGAGGGCTGTGAGGGAGATTCTGTCCCACCTAGCTTCTGGTGGTTTGCTGGCAATCGTCAGCATTTCTTGGCTTGCAGAAGCATCACCCTAATCTGTCTTTTCATCTTCATATAGCATCCTCCCTGTGTATGTGTCTGTGTCCAAACTTCCCCTTTTTATAAGGACACCAGTCATATAGGGTGGATTAGGGGTCCACCCTACTTCAGTAGGACCTCATCTTAACTTACATCTGCAACTCTATTCCCAAATAAGGCTACTTTCTGAGGTATGGGGTTAGGACTTCAAAATATGAATTTTTGGAGGACACAATTCAGTTCATAACAGAGCAGGTTCAGGAAGGATGCCAAGCCTCCTGGGGCACGGTCTGAGAACCTGGAACATGCTTCTGGAGTCCACAGCCCGTCCCTTTAAGCTGCTCCCCTCGCCCCTCTAGGCACCACCTCTCCCACCCGGAACTCCATCAGGGGTGCCTAGAACTATGGCCACTTCACATACCTCTACAGTCAATGCCTTTAAAGTCCATCCTCCACTTTGTCGATTATCTTGGGCCATTGCTTTTTTTTCCTCCAATCAGATGGGCCCTTTTGGTCATGAAAAAGCTTATCTGTGCCTCTACTAATAAAACAGCAGATAAAACAAGTCAGGTCCTTAACTAATTCAGTTGCAAAGTGTGTAGCAGCTAACTTTGAAGTTACTTTCTAGATGAGATTTATTTCAGGAGCATCTATGAATTTTAATTACTGCTCTCTCCTTGTTACCCAACAGCAGAGCCAGTGATCTGAGCAGCTCAGTGAATATCTGAATGGAATGCAGCCAGCGAGAGCTCTGTGTGTGACTGAATGTATAATAAACAAACCGCTTGTACCCTAGAGTGTGTGTGTGTGTGTGTGTGTGTGTGTGCGCGTGTGCGCACATGCGTGCACTGATACCTTGGTCTCCTGTGACCCCAGGGTTAAAGGCTAGCCCAGGGGTTATGTTACCCCATCTTCACTACTATATGCTTAGATACATATCTATGCCCCCATTTTACAGATGAGGAAACTGAGGCATAGACTGGCTAAAATTGTTACTTCCCTAAACTTGTAAGATGCAAAATCGAGATTCAGAATCATGTTTTCCCTTAAGCCAACTTACCTATCAGGTAAACCTCGTCTCCCCTGTACCTGAAGACGCTATAATGGCGATGGAGATGATTACTGCTCCATATAGGAGAGTTTTTGAGGGTTTGCTTAGTTGAGGTGGCAGCGCTAAGTGCACTTTAGGTTGAAAGCGGTTCCACTTTAACACAAGTCAGAGTAATTTGTAAACAATACTCTGCCCATTTGATTTTAATAAAACTCAGTAAATATAGTGTTATCTACTTTTTACAGAATGCATTTGAGAAAGTTTTTCCCTTCGTTGGTTTTCCCAAATACCCATTTGTTTAGTTAGCTACAAAAGCGTTGGTGCTGGTGACCATCGATAGGCTTTAACGAGTGAATGGCTAGAAGCGTTCCCACTTATTAAAGTTTATTGGATACAAAGAAGTAAATCTGCAGAGGGAACATCAATAAATATAAAATACACGTGAAACACTGGGGGAGTCACAGACCACAGCGCCAGCAAGCATACGCGAGGATGGGAGGGGCGCTACGTTTGAGTTTGTGGTCTAGGGGTGAAGGCTTTGTCCTGCCGGAGGCCGGCACCGTGAGAGTTCAAAGGGCGAGAATTCAGTGATGGGTCTGGAGGAGGGATGTGATCCCAGGTTCCTGAAATTTCTCCCTAATTGCAATTTTTGGTTTCTCCTCATTCCTTCCCTCTGTCGTTGAATGGTTTTATTTTGAATTTCCATCCCAGCGGTGCAGAACATTAATGTGTAAACACCTCACCAGGGCAGGCAGTCTACTCTGAAGGTGGAACAGCCTTGGTCTAGCACCTCCTTAATCATGATCATTAAAACCCCTGTAATTATTCTGTACACCTGAGAGAGAGGTGGAGTGGCTACTGTAATAAACAGAAGTTCTGACCTTCTGGAAACCTTGCAGAACCAAAAAACCAAATCAGGTATGCCCATAGCTGATGACCTGCAAAAGCTTCTTTTCCATTGATTTAGCTGTTACAACTTGGCATGATTTATTCCCCAGGGAAGGGAACATGACCTCGCTCAGTGGCTTTTGTCTGGAATGAGAAAGCATAACAACGATGGAGGACACCATCTTAGTCTCCACTCCAGACAGCAGCTCGGTTGGGTGTACTATCATGTTTGCCAAAACACTCCTAACGGCTACCTGTCGTGGATGGCGTGTTCCGGGCATTACATCCTTGAGGTGTGAGTGCACGAGTGGGCTATTTCAAAGGAAACTTACTTTTCACTGCTCTTCCCACTTCTGCCTCCCTGATTTCCTTTAATCTGCAGCTGTTTTGAGCACAGACGAGGGATCAGTCTGTTTCCTCCTATTTTCTCTCCTTCCTCTGTCACAGCTTTTCCACCAAGGATGGGGTCATGCAGCAAGCAAAAACACACTGCCATTCCCTTGCCAGCTCCAGAAAAAGGGTGTGAGAGGACAGGTCACAGCCAGTCCTGAGCCGGTCCATAGTCAGGGCTGGCTGAACTCACACACTTCTCCCCACCTAGAAAGGTGCCACCACAGGGACTGGGGGACTCTCAGACCAATTAGGTTCTTGGGCTCAGAAGGCAGCTAGGATTTGCCTGATGGGTGGCTCCAGGTTCCCTAAGGGTGGGCGTGGGGCACTGATGTTTGAGGCAGATATTTCAGAATACATTTCAGTCTATACCTTCCGTGCCATGTTTTTCACGAGAACCCTGCACTCAGGGGAGGAAAAAAAAGAGCTCTGAGACAGAATTAGGAATTTACTCATGATGACTTACACAGGTTTCTAACTTGCAGGGAAAATACTGAAATCTCATACAGCTCACCTCACCTTGTCTGCCAGGATGAGGCTGGGAACTTGGAGGGACAGGAGGACCGTCATGCAGACATGGGCACGAGGGGCCGTGTAAACAGTAAGAGCATTGGCTACTTGCAGGATCATTCAGATACAAAAGGGGCCCTGTGGTTGGCCTTGGAGAGGCCAAGCCCGCTCTTGCCTTTGACTTGTGTTATGTTTACATTAGGAAGCAAAAGAATCCCTGTACTGCAAGATGGGAGCGAGACGTGGCATCTCGTTCACTGGAGGCCGTGTGGCATCGTCTGGGTGTGGCGACACATTGCTCTCTGTGAGCCGCGTCATTTATAAGGCATTATCTGGTTTGATTTTGCAGTTTGTGTGATGAGACTAGAAAATCATGCCAATAAGAAGCTGTTGTAGATACTATGACTTTGGGAAACTAAGGAATCTTCTAAAAATGGTTCCGAATCTAGGGAGGGCCAGCCTGCACGCGTATTTACAGTCATGGAATGGACACTCTGTGGTGGGGACAGGGCTGTCATCTGTGCTGACAGATGAATGCCAAGATGCATTTTAAACAATGGAGAAATGATGTGTGTGTTTTGTAAATTACTCAAATAAAAATCGACTATAATACTGATTTAAAGCCTGTGCAAATCACGTATTTACAATAAATAAATGCTCCGTGCAGAGCCTGTATGTCAACTGAATTACAACTTGAGAAGGGTGAGGTCTGACGTTCTCCTGGGGATGTCCACCCCGCCATATGGACCCCCAGGTGGCTCACAGGACGTTGGCTTCATCTGTCTTCTCACCGGAGTGTCTTCAGCGGTAACTGTGGAAACACGACAGTGTTATCAGGTGGGGTCAGAGGACTCACAGCACATAAATGACATACTCCGGGGCCGGGCAGTGAAGCTTTCCCTCATGCATGCAAGGCTGCCAGGGTCTGATGGTCCCATCATACATAAGGTGCTGATTTTCACCCAGGAGGTCGTGGATGGAAAAGGAATGAAAAGTGTAGCTTGTGGCAGGTGGGGACCTAATCCCATCAAAAACATTTAAGGGATCAAGCACCAGCAGACTCACTTGACGGGAAGCTCAAGAAAAGCAAAGAACTTGGTGGCGATCCCAAGACAAGGCAACAGAAAACAGAGAAAGGGTCCCAGGCTTTCAGATTTCAGAGCTCCCAGCCTTGCACGGATCACTTGGGCTCTGTACCCATAAAAGAAGAGCACCCCCAGGGTGCTGTTCACCATGTCTGGAACCCTGTGATTTCTCTGGGCGATTTCTTTTTGCCTCACTGAAGTGAAAATGAATTAAGATGGTGTCCAGCTAGACATAAAGAAGATCTTCTTGACAATGGGATGCCCAAGAGAGACTTAACAATTCATCCTTGACTAGACTTTATGGGCTCAGGGATTTAGATGTGTGCCTGCCATGAGGTCAGGGACCAGACTGTGCATAATGTCCCATCGTGCTTGCCACGTCTGAAGGTGCGGGTGACTCCTGTCCTGTCAATTCTAACATGCCAGGCAAAGCAGTGAGGTACAGTGGAAGGAGCACTGGACGAGGAGTCAGAGGTCTGTGAACATGACCTTGACCTTGGGTGAGTTCCTTAACCTCTTGAAGCTTGGTTTTCTCATATGAAAAAAAGTTTGCATTAAAGGTATCTCTCCAGCTTATACCACAGAGTTGCTAAAAGGAGCAAATGAAATAACATATGCAAGTTATCTAAACTATATAAAGAGCTATATAATGTAGGAGATATTATTTTGATTATTACTATATCTTTCTGATCACAGGAGTAATGTATTTATTATGGAACATTCAGAAACTGCAGAAATGCCCCCTAAGAAGTCAAAATCAGCCATCAGCTGGCAGAGTGAATGCCTGTGAACAATTTTGTGTATATTTTTCCTGTCTTCTTTTTTCCTCTGCATACATACTTTCTCTGAACTGCAATCATACACCCAGTTTTGAACCTACAGTCATCTGAGAATGGTTATTGCAATTCTTGGATTAGCCATGGTGAGAAAGGGGAGAGGTGCTTGTCCTTCAGGGAGCTCATCCCCACTTCCAGTAACCTAAGTTCCTTCTTTCTCACGTCCCTTTCCTTGAGGTTCTGATCTAACAGCAGGCCACCCCTTTTGTTACACGGCACTGTGAAACAGGAGGTGGCCAGGGTGGACGGAATGCATGTTTTCAAAGAAACGAACGGCCTTTAAAGATGAGACCCTGTCGTCTGCGGTGAGAGATGTCATCTCCGCCCAGGTTAGAAAACACTGTGTCCAAGTTGCCTCGTGTGAGCACGAGGGCATTTCTTCAAAGACTCATAATTATGACACAAGCACCTCTCTGGTTCCCCCGATCCCCTCCCCCCAGCCTTCCTCTAGCCACCAGCAAAATTTGTGGCTACATTTGGTCAAAAGAAATGATAATGTTGGGGACTTCCCTGGCAGTCCAGTGGTTAAGACACCGTGCTTCCGCTGCAGAGGGCATGGGTTCAATCCCTGGTCAGGGAACTAATATCCCACATGCTGTGCAGTGTGGCCAAAAATAAAATAAAGTAAAAATTAAAAAAATAAGTAAATGATAATGTCGATGGGAGAAAAAATCCCAGGGTGCTATGAGAAACCATGTATTCTATAGACGAGAGAGAACACCAAATTATGTTTTATACATGTTACAGAGCTCTCCTCTCAGGCTTCTCAGGCCACAGTAACGAGGGAAGAATGATGGGAGCGAACGGGGTGATGGTTGCGGAGTGATTCCCAAGGGGTTCTGTGTTGCCAAAGCTGCTTCTGTGTGTGGTGGTGATTCCAGAGAAGCTCCCCCCTTTCACTCTTCAGGTTTTGAAATTGTGTTTCATCCCAGCTGGAAACAAAGGTACCCCTATGGCTTTCCCTGAGGAAAACCAGGAGGCTGTTCAGAGGAAAGCACACCCTCAACATTTCTGTGCTCCCTGAGGTTTCCCAGTTTCACACTCAGAGACCAGAGGGCCGTGTTACCTGAGCATTTCTGCCTTTGATGTCATCGGAGCTCTGGCCGGCCGCCTCAGTGTGGAGCCAGGGACCAGGTGTGCGGCCTGAAAGACACAGGAACCATCCCACCATCTGCTGGCCCAGGGCCGGCTATGTGCTTCACGGAGAAAGTCTGGCTAAACCGGCACTTAGGGCAATGGTACAGGAACCAAGGGTAATGTAAGTCGGTCAACCTGAAACCCTCGGGCTCCTGGCCCTAGAGTGTACGTTTCTACCCACCGCCTCTATGTCACACACTGTGGATACAGAGGCGTCACGTCCACAGAGCTGGGAGGAGAACAAGTGATGAAGGCCTCTCATCTAAACGCAGGTGCGAGCTTCTCAGCTCTGAACACAGCATCAGCTGCAGACTCGCTCGTGTGTCCTGGCCCCAAATGTGCCGGCGTCGTGCTAGGGTTGCTTAAAAAAGGAGTGAAAGTGTGTGCTGACATAGCTCAGACCCTGTTCCATGAGGCTCCAACTCACTCTCTAAAACATATTAGGTTTAAATATTACACAAGTTACATATGAATATATTCTCATAATTAAGAATTCAAAGAATATAGAAAAGATAATAAGGAAAAAATACCCCCTCAAGTGCTTCCTCTCTGCCTGCCCTTCTCTCTAATCCCAATTAATTAGCCCGGAGTTGCCTCTGCTAAAAGTCTGCTGTTTATCCCTCCAGCTTTGTTTTTCTTTTTGACATTTACTTACATAGACATGTGTACACGTAGATACATGGTTTGGTTGGTCTAGCCAAGTTTTAAATCCACATTCCTAGGAATTCCAGAACTTTACCTGTGAGTCAGGTGATCCAAATGGTGTCCCTGGGTCTCCTCTGCTGCATTTGGTACAAGACTTTTCTGTCTGCTTCTGTCACAGGCTAGGAATTAAATAACCATGTCCCAAAGCCCTCCCAACAATTCACGTTGCTGTGCTACTTACAAAGCAACATGAAAAGCAGAAATATCAATCCCAGAGTATTTATGACAGTGAAAAGCTGATAATAACCTGTATTCAACAACAGTGTTTAGGAAATCTAGGGTTCATTATCGTATGATGGAGCACCAAGAGGCCATCTGAGTGTCTACAAAGGCTCAAATAATTTGGGGTGATGTTTGAAATGTAGGACAAAAAAGCAGGCTAGAAACTGTATACATAGCAAGATGTTAACTATTTTTAAAAATCCATTTAAAAAATGTAAATAATATACTGAATTGATTCCTTTTGAATTTACTGCTTTTTAAAAACTCTTAAAAATACTCTTCAAGTTTTCTACAATGGGCATATAAGTCATCTTAAGAATCTGTTACGGTAAGATATAGTTTTTTAAATGAACTGCCACATAGAAGGGTCTCTACACCTTACAAAACATTAATCCAATGGACACTATAATTTTCATTAAAATACTTTTAAAATTACCGAGTGCACTTGTTCTAGGATGAAGATATTTTTGGACCAATGGCATAGGGAGTACTAGGTTTTTAGTCAGATTTACAACTGAGCAAAAAGTAAAGAGACACTGATAAACAGCCCCTGACCGAATTCCACGCGGCAGTATGGCCTTGACACTATTGTTCTTAGATTTACGAAACTCCAGTCTACTACAGAAAAGCCTTCCTCTAGACCAGGGTTTCTTAACTTGGCTCTACTGACATTTGGGGCTGGAAAATTCTTTGTTGTGGGGTGTTGCCTGTGTGCTGTAAGCAGTTTCACAGCATCCCTGGTCTTTACCCACTAGACGCCACTAGCACATGCCCCAGACCATTTGTATCAACAAAAAAGGTCTCCAGACAGTGCTGAATATCCCCTGGGGGGCAAAATCCTCCACTTGGAGAACGACTGGGCAACGAAACAGGCTTCTCCATAGGTAAGCAGTGCCCACTAGTTTTCATAAATACGACTGGAAACAACAGAGCTAAGGAGAATCAATTTCTTCTTAAAACAGAAAGGAAAACTCTGCACCCTGTTGTAAAAGAAATTTCACTGCTGCTAGAATGTGTGGCTGAGAGTTGCCAGGGTTACCCAGGATGCTTTTAATCCAAATATCTCCTTGGGGGGTTTTCCCTTACGAGATGCCACTAGAATCTCTTAGAATTAAACTGTAGAGCCCTTCTGCTTGAAACAGTCCTTCACACGGGCTGTTTGCCCACAGAAGAGTATTTCAGATTCGCTAAAATGGTGGTTTTCAAACTTTTGGTACCACAGCGCACAGTAAGAAATCTCTTTCCCATCTCTATCCAGTCACACGCGTCTATTGCATGCAGAGCAGCCCAAGGGACCGCTGCTGCTGCCCCCTAGTAACCAGATGGTGCCTCTTCCCCCAGTTATCAACACGCTGTGTTGCAGAAGCTGCTGGCTACAGAGCAGCCGGATAGGAAAGACTTCGCTAAACTGTGGGGCTTAAAGAAGAAAGTCTGTGCTTGGGCTGGAGGAGCAGAGGCCTGAGGGCCACGCTGGTTTCCAACTTTATTTTTTGTCACTTGTAAACCAGGCTTGTACCTTTTCTCAGACAGAGATATATTTTCAGGTCAAAAAAGAAAAAAAAAATCTGTTCTGTAGCCAACCAACAAGAGGCTGAATACTGCAGGGCTTGGAAAACACCCAGAAAGGATTTACAAACTTGGTTGGCCATCAAAGCTGGGTCTCCCAGGACCCCTCCCAGTCTTGGAGTACAATTCCAGGGGCTGGGTGAGGAGAAAGTGGACTCCTAGGAGAAGCACATCTAACCGTCATCTCTGGGCCAACTCGGTCTCTCTGTAAGGTAGGGTCCACATGGCATAAGGTGGAGAGTAGTAGGTATGGTGCAGAGAACCAAGCTGTGTATCTGAAACAAATGGGATGCTGCATACACCGGCCTCACGTGCAGAGAAGGAATGTTGGCCAGACCACGACAAGAACGGCAGATGGTTAGAAGGAATCAAAAGCACAATTCTCTGTGACTGGGAACATTTCACTGGCAACGCTAACTGTATGACACAGACATTAAGTGGAACGGTAATTTCTGTTTCCCTTCCCATCCCCAAAGCAGTGCAACAGACAGGAAACGGTTGAAAAACAGAGGAGAATGTTGTTACTAGGTGATTTCAGTGCGGATTTCAGTGCGGGGATGAATACATGGGCTGAGCCAGAGTGAGGGTGCCCTTAGCAGTCTTCCCCAGGGTTCTGTATGCTGTGTGATGATTGTTTACAGAAGGGGTGGACAAAATAATTAGCTACTAAAGGTATCTGAAAAAGGCCTGAGAAAATCTGGTTAAAATGTTAAACCTTGTATTGCTACTGATGGGAGTAGTTGTTTTTATATCTTTTAAAAATAATAAAAAGATTCTGCTAAAAAATATATTTATCCAGAAAGATGTTGATTTGACCTTTAAAAAGGAACATGGAATCATCATTTTCCCTTTTCAATACACAGCCACTGAGTTCTGTTGGTAGCTCCCTTTCTAATGTCAAGTTCATCCTTTCCTCTCAAGTGAGCCTAGGGCATGTAGTGGGGTCTTCCTAGGCCTCTACATGCAGACTCCTCACTCAAGAAGGCATGGAACACACCCTTGGATTGGTTCTATGCTGTTCCAGTATTTTGGGCAGCCAACATGATCCTATACATAGAGAATCCTAAAGATGCTACGAGAAAACTACTAGAGCTAATCAATGAATTTGGTAAAGTAGCAGGATACAAAATTAATGCACAGAAATCTCTGGCATTCCTATACATTAAGGATGAAAAATCTGAAAGTGAAATCAAGAAAACACTCCCATTTACCACTGCAACAAAAAGAATAAAATATCTAGGAATAAACCTACCTAAGGAGACAAAAGACCTCTATGCAGAAAATTATAAGACACTGATGAAAGAAATTAAAGATGATACAAATAGATGGAGAGATACACCATGTTCTTGGATTGGAAGAATCAACATTGTGAAAATGACACTACTACCCAAAGCAATCTACAGATTCAATGCAATCCCTATCAAACTACCACTGGCATTTTTCACAGAACTAGAACAAAAAATTTCACAATTTGTATGGAAACACAAAAGACCCTGAATAGCCAAAGCAATCTTGAGAACAAAAAACGGAGCTGGAGGAATCAGGCTCCCTGACTTCAGACTATACTACAAAGCTACAGCAATCAAGACAGTATGGTACTGGCACAAAAACAGAAAGATAGATCAATGGGACAGGATAGAAAGCCCAGAGATAAACCCATGCACATATGGTCACCTTATCTTTTCTTTTTTTTTTGGGGGTACGCGGGCCTCTCACTGCTGTGGCCTCTCCCATTGTGGAGCACAGGCTCCGGATGCGCAGGCTCAGCGGCCATGGCTCACGGGCCCAGCCGCTCCGCAGCATGTGGGATCCTCCCAGACCGGGGCACGAACCCATGTCCCCTGCATCACCAGGCGGATCCTCAACCACTGCGCCACCAGGGAAGCCCTGGTCACCTTATCTTTGATAAAGGAGGCAGGAATGTACAGTGGAGAAAGGACAGCCTCTTCAATAAGTGGTGCTGGGAAAACTGGACAGGTACATGTAAAAGTATGAGATTAGATCACTCTCTAACACCATACACAAAAATCAGCTCAAAATGGATTAAAGACCTAAATGTAAGGCCAGAAACTATCAAACTCTTAGAGGAAAACATAGGCAGAACACTCTATGACATAAATCACAGCAAGATCCTTCTTGACCCACCTCCTAGAGAAATGGAAATAAAAACAAAAATAAACAAATGGGACCTAATGAAACTTCAAAGCTTTTGCACAGCAAAGGAAACCATAAACAAGACCAAAAGACAACCCTCAGAATGGGAGAAAATATCTGCAAATGAAGCAACTGACAAAGGATTAATCTCCAAAATTTACAAGCAGCTCATGCAGCTCAATAACAAAAAAACAAACAACCCAATCCAAAAATGGACAGAAGACCTAAGTAGGTATTTCTCCAAAGAAGATATACAGACTGCCAACAAACACATGAAAGGATGCTCAACATCACTAATCATTAGAGAAATGCAAATCAAAACTACATTGAGATATCATCTCACACCAGTCAGAATGGCC